GTGGACCTACATTTGTGTGTGTGTGTGTGTGTGTGTGTGTGTGTGTGTGTGTACTGTATGGTCCCAAATTTTATTTCACAGCAACCTTCCTCCAGAAGTGATAAAGGAAACTGATCAAGTCCCACCTGTGTCAGACGTAATAAGTACAATAAAAATTGATGACATGACTTTGTTTCCTGTTTCTTCTTTGTGTTTATTAAACACTGTGAGGAAAATCCTTCCCTCAAACTATTTCCACTAGAGCTGTATTTTTTGTGAATTGTCACCTGTTCTATCTTTTTACAGCTGAAAACATGTATGTTTTTGTTACTTAAAACTGTATTTATTGTTTGCACTTGTAAAATAAAATGTGAATCAATGTATTTAAAAAAAAATAAAATTCTGCAAATGAATTAAGCTCTGTGCAAAGCTGCCCTTTAGCTTCATGAGCATTTTCCTCCCCGAGCTTGCCTTATGACTTTTGTGTTGCTGTTTGACAAGTGTACCGCCTCAGCCAAACGTCCCACCTGCCACTAATCCTAAAACAGGTCTAACTGACAAACATGGCTGAATCCTTGAAGCCACTCAGGGCAGGCCTTGGGCATCTGAGCCACAGTGATAGGACAGCTGTCTTGGGACCAGAAAGTCAAAGGAACAAAGTGAAAAATGCAAAAAATGCACACACTGCACCACTTTGACTGAACATTTATTGACAGACACGATCTTAATAAAGCAGCGTCCCTCCTTGACTCGAGTATAATGGTCCAAATGATCAGAGACAACAGCGGCTCTTCAATATGAAAGTTAAAGGAGCACAAGCCAGTGTATCTCTGGTTCTGGTCTCAAGTGTGAGGAAATGGTGAGGGTTGTGTCAGAAAGGGCATCTGACATAAAACCCTTTTGCCAAAACTAAAATGTGAGACCATCTAAACAATACAATACCAGATCTGTCGAAGCACAGGTAAACGACGACCACCACCGGTGCTGTTAACAAACAGGGTGCAGGAAGAACTTGTGCTACTATTGTATGATGTATAAAGCCATTTGACCTAATCGAGTTCAAGTTATGTTTATTTGTCATATGCAGGTTAACAGTACAATGAAATGTTTAGGATAAGAAGAACCCATTCGACTTGCTAAAAAGCACAAATAACAAACAACCAAGAAATACTAAAGTATGCAATAAAGGTACAAAAAAGTACCAAAACTTGAAAAAGTAAAAA